TACGTTGTCTGGCAGCTTATTAATACAATCGTTTTAATATCGTCGTGATAAGTGTTAAAAAGAAAAGATAGATTCCTTGGGGGTCGTGAAGTGTTCTCTGGATGTTCGTCGTAGTTTAACATTTTTAATTGAGGATTTTCAGCGCACTAATAGAAAAATATCTCAAGTGGATTTTGTCAAATTTATTGGAACGTTAAGGGGCTAAAGATGTTTCTTCTATGGCTGGGAAAGTGGGCTCTGAAAAAAGGTTGGGAAACGTTACAATAGATTCAATTTGATTCATTGTATGTTTATCTTCGATAACGAGTATGAACAAATACAATTCTCTTCCATTGAAGTTCCACTTGGTAAAACAATTTAACGTTTTACTAGAGACCCAAACATAAAAAGCAGTTATGTGTTATTTAAATACACAAGGTAGGCTGCACTGTTTATTTCTGCCTAGACTGTACCTACGAGCAGCGAGGCTAACTGAGCTTTATTCTTGTGGTTTTAAATTGCTGCTCGGCCAACGGGTCCTTCTATTAATCGCGTCCGAAAAAATATTCCATGGGCTGTTGGTCCGTTGTTGCTCGATCTCTCGTACACCTGCGACTCCGTCGATCGATGTTCTACGGGATTAACTTGGCTAGCGTTTTTTAACCGATTTACTCGATATTTGCTTATCAATTATTTACGACAGCGCGTTTCACTCTTCTTTTTTTATTTATTACATCGATGCTGTGAATAAACATGGTTCGATGTTTGTTTTAACTGAAAATTCAGAAATACTAGGTTTTGGTTGGAAGTAAAATAATGTAGATTTTTTATTATACTAAAAAAAACATTTTCAAATGGTTTATACGTGACGCTTTACGATAAAATCGTTTTATAAGAAGGGTGTTCCGTACCTAAAAAACTCTCGATCCTTTTCTTAAGTTTAAAAATCCCTTATTCTCAAAATATGGCATTTTCTTTAAATAGAAGAATTCTTTAAATAAAAGAAATATAAAGAGAAACGTTAGTAAGTTAAGTAATTTCTATATTCACATTACTTTCTCATTAACCTACTATTTTAGAAAGGGCTACGATTGAAAGTAGAGTCAAACGAGCATCGCTATATACATATAAACTATTATCATCCTTCTAAGCCTCCGTGTTAGCACATTACGATATATTTCTCGTAATTATCGTGCACGAGAGCTATACTACGTACCATGTATGCTAGCTATTTGGGTGCACTTTTAAATTGTATTAATTTTGAACAGAACATCGAATGTCTGAACGTGCAAAACTTGTAGTTACCATAATTGAAGTGCGTCGTTGGACTATGTGAATATATCGATACAGTCTGCAACGGTGAAACTCGTGAGCGCAAATATTTTGAAGCAGCAGCAGCTGTTGCTCGAGTGCTGCTCATTAAGCCGGAAGCAGCTTGGAATTTGGCGTCGTTTAAGAAACATCGGTGGAATTTCTCTGTTATCGCATTACGCAACCGCGATTACCATTATTCACGAGTCCATAAGCCTATGAAAGCACCGACTGCCGAATATTTGGACTGCATTAATTGCCGAAGGTAGGTCAAGCACCAGTCGAATTTGCAATCGCTCTAGTTGCACCGGTCGATCGGAAATGACGGCCGGGATGACGAGTGTTCTGACATTTCATTCTTTCACTAGAAAATGCTTCGGCATACGCATAGAATCGAGAGCAATAAACGTATTCGAACTTCGAACAATCAATGGCACGTTTGATTCGATTGGGAGATTATTTAGAACTGGGTTTTGAAGGATTTTGTGGAGATATATCAAGAGAAAGTTTTATTGTATATTATAAATACTATTTTGGCTGTTAATACAATATTAGAACTACTAAATTTGTTAGACAGATAGTTTGCCACGCTTTTTCATATATTAATAACATATGCGATTTAAAGGAAAAATGAATGCCTATAAAATTTTGAGATCAGAACTTGATTATATATAGTCAATGTACTATTTCAACTATAATTATCTGTAATATATCTATCTAAATTATATCTGCAATATATTTCAGTATACGATAGAAACTGGTTGTTCTAGTATTAAATTGGACTGGTGTGATAAAAATAGTCTTTGTGCTTCTTCTCAAAGTATTCTCTATCCCTATATCTTCACGTTGTATATGCGTTTCCCATTTTTCAAAACAGCGTGACAATTGATCTTTTGTCAAGATGCTCAGCAGGTCCACAGTTTTCTTTCACTGCGAAGAGTTAAAGTCGATATCCATTGAAACGTTTTTTATTTGCGAGAAGAAAAAAAGGCGCAGAGTGCCAATATTGAAGCACTTGAAATGCATTTATGAATCAAAACTGAAATGGAGCTATGCATCAATGGAGCCTCTGCATGAGGCATTCTCACTGCACGATTCCAGCAAATCAATTAGTAGTATTCAATCGAAACAAAATTCGCTTGTGAATTGAATAGTGAATCAAGTTGAAATCTTTATTTAATGCTTCATTTCTACTCTTATTAAAGTTATAGTATTCTTACGACACGCAGTTTTACTACCCACTAACCAGAATAAAGTATAAAACACATTATAATATATGTCACATGACTGATTTATTGATCAACGCCTAGCTAAAACCGTTGTATCTAGAAACGTAAAATTTGAGCAGCATACTGCTTATGCGACGTAGGCATGTGATAAGAATTTTGGAAATACTAATCCCAACGGGATAGAAGTGAGGTAAAATTTTTTTAAAAGATATTGCCATATTCCACGAGTTGTTAAAATTAGTTACGTAAAGTTCAGCATGTGAACTTCTCATTAAATAATACGCGTGTGAGCATTTTTCGATATTCAAATCCTAAATGATGATCAAACAGAGGGTAATAAGCATAAATTGCTATAAAAACAAATACCGTGCAGGCAAAGCTGCGTGCGAGCAGCTGTGTTATAAACACAATACATGTATGTGTACCAAAAACTAGATGTACTCAATGATTTCCAGCATCGATTTATTCAGGAATAACTCTTATTTATTGCATCACGTATCAGCTTCGTAAAATATCAATTTGAAAGCACTTTGTGCATATACGATGCGCCGAAAAAATATCAGAAATATAAATTTACACATATTAATATTTCTATATATTAATCGCATGATCCTGTCCATTGCTTCTCGAAAGCTTCTTGCCGTGCCACTGAAATTTGAGCAATTTGTCAGTTTCAATAGTGTCCGTTCGTTCCAAATGCCCACTGACGTAGCTAGTTCGACCGAATGATCAGCAGCAGCCGCCTCATACTTGCATCGCGATGTTGCACGGTATGATTTGCGGGTGCAATCTGCCGAAATGTCGACATGCGACGATTAGCACGCGAATAATCGTTAAGCTTGACTGTCGCGCGGAAGGTTTGCAACGGGCGGGTTGTTCCTTTCATCGCCAGTGCTGTCGAAACTAAGGTAAAGTTCGACGATTCGACGATCCGTGTTCTGTAATTAATTCAATTCGTCGTTTAATCGCGTTCTTTCACATGTTTTGGGTGTTCAAGTTCTCAAAGAATCAACGTTAAATAGGTCTTATCTCCGAGTACCGAGCACCTTGAATTTACGTAATCAGGGCGCTCCTATTCAATTCAAATTCAATCAGACCGAGGGAACGCATTTTATTTCGCAATCGCCGCGTCAAGGCTGAATTAACCGTGTCAGCAATTTATATTTCGCTCCTCGACCTATCGTCGGCCACCATTAGCGATCGCGAAAACGGCGGCCCGCTGAAAGAGCGATTTATGGTAGCTCGATTAAAAGCGTCAGATAGCGTCACTCACAAGTCGAACTTCTCGCTTTTTTCCGGGTATTAGCGGATCTATTTAATCGATCAGATGAAGGGTGCCGGTTGAATTCCTTATCGGCGTGCATCATTTTTATCGGAAAAGAGCGAGTGGATATTTTGAATGAAACGTAAAAGCGTAACTACGATGGGATAAAGTCAAGCAAAAGAGGAAATGTTTTTTTAAAGGAAAAAGAAGACACACGCGGCACGCCATTCTTATTTTTGCGTAAGAATAGCGTTAATATTCTAACAATTGTTAATTTCTCCTCTTTTGTGTCATAGTAATAAACAGTTCTTTGAAAAGCCGATGCGAAAATGTTACGAAACGCTGTGAAATTTTTCTCTGCGATGCGCCTCGTTGCATCGCGGACGGATTAACGGTAAAAAGAACGCGCTAAATGACATTTAGCTTTTTCTTTTCACGCGTGTTACGTCATATTCATCCGCGTCGTGCCGCCACGCTTATTGCGTTTCGGCTTACTAGACTTTCTTCGTTGGAAGGGCGCGATTACGACATTTTTTTCCCCACGTCGAATGTAGTCTGAACGACTGAACTGATGCGCGATTTACGATATTACTCTTAGGGTAAGATCGTTCCCGGCATGGCCAATAAATTGCGTCCGTGTTTTCGCGCATTCGCTGTATCTATAAATTGCTCGTGTTTCGCCGATTTTTACCTCGGCTGTTCGCTATCTATTTCCGTCGTTAATACGATTTCTCCGCCCTCGAGCAGTGCCCCCTCCTTCTACCTCGTGCTCTTTTTTCCCCCCATTGTTGTTCCCGTTGTTTTATTTTCTGCCACGCCACGCCCTGATGTTCCGTATTCTTCGACCAAATATTTTTAATGGCGTTCCCACCTACCGAACCAGAGACCGGGGTTTGTTTCTCGAGTACTTTTAGTGTGCTGCAAACAACTCACGGATGCAACGGGCACAAAAAGCGGTACGGTCGGCGAGAGATCGACATGGAGCCGTTGTTTCCATCCAGACATTATCGATAATACCATAAATTTACGTTCGTTTAATCTAACGCAAGCAGGGGAGAAACGAATGGAACGAAGGATAAAGACGAAAAAGCAGATAGCAGAGATTAAAAGATCGATGAAGTGAATTTCAAAGTCTCCCGATCGGATCCTTTGGCAAAATCCATTTATCCTTCGGTCGATATCTCGTCGGATCCCATGTCCGATAAAAGTTCCTTGAAGCTGTCTGTTAACCATTTATGTGTATCCGAACGCGATTAGACTAGATTGCAGCGGAACTTTGTTCGGTATATTGTTCTGGGAGAACAGGGAAATGAAGTTAGCGGACAGTCGCTACTGGATGGAATTTATTTCTCGAAAGAAGCACCAATATCTCGGTGGAAACGGCGAAGGAGGAGGAGGGTAGCGATGTCGCAGAATTGGAAAGCGCGACACGCTCCAACCTCAAACTCCGCGAAGCACATAAAGAAATAGTTTGTAACAAGCAAAAATTTTAGAATCTTCCCTACGCTCTTGACGCTTTATCGACGATAAATCAAACTCTCCGAGAGAAGTTCACGCGAACTCGTTGAAGGAAGCGTAAAACGGGCAACACGTATAATACATTATACCATGTCGTCCCTGATCGTAATGCACAACTCGCGAATTATGCTGTTGGAGGTAGCTGTGAAAAATGTGAGTAATTATAGATAAGTTGTATATCATCGCGACGTTTATGTAGCTACGTAGTCAATCGGTAAGTTACTCCGCCCCTTTAAGAAAGATACAAACGAATAGAAAAAATATTTCTCATTGTTAACGTACATTTATGTTCAGTTATTACTTCTGGCCATAGTGGAGTCGAAAACGCCTTTCGTAACGAGAAATTAACTCATAAATTACGTTTCCAAAGAATTTGTGTCCCATATCTCAAGAAGATTGTGGTGTTGCATCCTCTACTTCGTCATCCGTGTTGTGACGATTCCCATCTATATGTTTTTTCACACGAACATAAAAGTCATAGCAATAGGCGTGGATTGTAAAGGAAATATTCCTATTGTCCCCATTTTTACGTAACAGAATTTTGTCCGAGGATGGTATAACGGCAGGTATCTCGAACTTGGACGAGTTTGTTAGATGACATTCTATGTTTAACGCAAGGTAATATCAGATTGATTGATACAATCGAGTTGTCGCTTACTATACATCGACAACGGTGTTGCATCTACCACTTAGTGGCAATTATATGTCTCTTCTAGAACACGAGTTAGAGAGTGGGGAAGTAACTTATTGATTGATACGTATTACCACATCTTTTTTCATATTCTTTTTTTTGCAAAATTGCAAACTTTTACATAATAACGACTAAAAATATGATTTTAACGATTTGGATGATCGAAGATGTAAGAGCTTTTATAGTAAAATTCTATACCCGCATATAAATGTGGTTGCTTAGCTTCTTGTACATAAGGTTAGCCGGCATCGCAATCTTTCTGAAATTTTTAAATCTAACACGTTCTGTGCCGGTCACGTAATGGCGAGTATATGGGCTAGCAGTCACGTAAGAGCGTAAGGATACGTCATATAGTATTAAAAAGTATCATACCACCGTTTCCTCTTCCTCTTTTAAAATCTGTATTTTTAGAGCATGGAATGACCAAGATGTGTGCTTCACTACGCGAAGTCACTCGTAAAAAAAGCTGCAAAAACCTTTCCACAAATAAATATTTCACCAACATGACATATTTACAATAAAACAACGTATCTCCACCGATGTAAAAATTACTCGACGAAACCAATCCACGTAACCTATATTTTTGGCACGGCGTCCACTAAATTCCGTTATATTGACACGATTGAACAGCTGTACATGCCATGGTCCGACGTGTTCGACTCTGCGCTTATGAAGAGGACCGTCATAATGTTTCGAATGCTGGATGACGAATGGACAACGTTGTCGCCGAATCGACGAGACTATCGTTCGTATCGTGGCTCTAATTACGAGAACGAACAATTTTATGGCGGCAGATCCGTGCTGTTCTCCGTGCCGGAAACTATGTTCGAGGAGAAAATGTCCGGAGTAGATCTGCAGCTGTATGTGTACAAAGGAGTGTCCAAGTATTTCGAGCTGGAGCCACGACGGAATTTCGGATTCGCCCTCGTCAGGATGGACGATCTGTTTAACGGTATTATCAAGGACCTCTGCGAACGGAAGGAGCTGGAGGGTTATTTTTCTGCCGCACTGGAGCGGGAACCTATATCAAGGTAAATGCATTTAAATACGCGGACCTGGCGTTTATGCAAATTCGCCGGCAAAACGAATTACCGGACGGCAAATGTTACGTCGGCCGGGCTAATGTAATTTAAAAAACTGCTATACCAAGTAGTACTGAATTAGTTTGAACAGCAGCCAGTTTGTTTGTATCGAAAACCGTTTGAATCGTATCGGGCAAAATGTTTCTTCCCCTTCTGAAAAAAGGAGATAGTAATCTCGCGTGTCTGTTTGGTCTTTGTTAATCTTGTTATCTCGTTCGGATTAGTTCGAAACGTTTTACTCGCTAAGATAAACGTACAGGTGGTGTAAACGTTAAACTGGTTTTAGTGAAATTTCCTGCGCCACAATTTCTTCTCGAGTATAATACACGAATTAACGAGACACGAATTAAGAGATACCTAATGTTTCGTCGTTCTCTAAGTATGCAGAAACGCTTGTTGATACGGCTCAGACGCCTGACAGGTGCTTGTGAATCCGCTTTTCTGCGCGGTTGAATTAAGAAAAAAGTAAAGACAGAACAAAATTATGTTAATCGTCCAGGTCGACACGCGGCACGTTCGTTCTGCTGGATGAGGATTTACAAGCAACCGACGCCACCATCGAGCTCTACATACGCATCAGTTACTTGGGCAAATGCATCATAACCGAAGTACACTCCCCTACGAGCATACAAAGAGCATTCTACGCACGCGAGGAAACCGACGACCATTACCAATATCAATTCCGGGAATTAAATACTATGGATCTGGAATCCTTTTGTTGGGGCAGCTTGACGATCATCCCGCCCCTTCATCCTGACAATTTGATCTGTCGATGCAAAGATCTCGTGGACAAATTAGTGGGAGTGGCGACGCAGACGAAAAAGACGAGAAAACGCAAACGCGACGAATTCGATTTAATGCTCAGAATGGCTCATGTACAGAAACTATTGGCCTTGATGAAAGAGATGAGAAAGAATCGTCCAGACGTAATGCCGCCCGCGGAAACGAAGAGAGTTTGCCCACCGTCACCGTCACCGTGTATCTGCCCCACGGTGTGTCCACCTGTCTGCGTTTACACTATGCCCTCCGTTTGTTCCAATCCCTGTCAGCAGACAACCGTTTACTGTCTACCATGAACGAACGCCGTCTACGAGTCACAGAGAATTTACATAGGAAGCCAGAATCGTGAAGTCGTCCTGGAAGATCCAGAGACGTTACGTCCGCGAGATGAGCTTCAAGTTTTACCATTGTTCCAACCAAATCTTTCCCGAGGTAATCACAGGGACCGTGTCCTATCGTGTTTTATGATTCATTCATCCCTCGCGATTGGACGATTTCCCAAATTGCCGGGTGAAATTTTATGGGCCAGACGAGGTTTGGGGGAGCGGTTTGTACGAGTGCAGCCGAATCGTTGGGTGACTTGGTCGAGGGTCGAGGGTCGAGGGTGTGTTTTCCTCGACTTTCTCGAATTACTTATTCCGTTCACAGGAATAGACGCAAGGATGGGAAGCAAGAAAGAATTCTCTTCATCCGCGTACGTTTCTCCCTTTGTGTATCATCGATGTGCATGGAACGTAGGATAATCTGGTCCCGAGACCGGGCGATTGTAAATTGCAAAGCGAACCAAGCCGTCTTCTGAGGAATTTCATGCACCGGGACGTGCAGTTTTTCACCGTGTTCGGGGTAACTCGATATCCACTTCGCGCCCCGGATATTCCGATATTCCATGCAATTGAAAGCCGAAGAGTTTTGCATTTTGATTACAGACACCCTCTCTCCTATACTAGCGAAGAAGATCGCCGCGTACATGTACGTGTATATATACCTACGTACGTATACGGCCACGCCGGGATTTCGATTTGCAGGCAGGGGAGTATTTTATCATCGGTGGCATTATGCAAAGATTCGAATCTGGAGAGGGCGAAAAATCTTCGATCGTGAGGCACGCGGAATCCAGGAACGGGTTTGTGAAAATAGAGCGAACGCTTCTTTTCATCGGTTCGTAAATTTTTGTTGGGAAACCACTGCTCTATTTGGACAATTTCTAAGAGGACTCGATACGTAGGAAGCACTTTTTCAACGTTTTCGCATCTTTTGATATATATGTGCACATATTATCAATCCGTTGAAATTGCACAGTGATATTTGTCAAACGTTAAATCGAAATACGTGATTGCTGTCTAAGAAATAAACGAGTGGGCGTACAATTTTATTTTACGAGTAGTATTCATTAGCTGTCATATGACGAGTAAGCGGTTTTAGTTGCGGTGAAAGTTTACGAGGCTAATGACGACGCACTTTTTTATGTAAAAGGGAGCCTGGAAATAATACTTAATGACTGTACGAAAAGTAAAAACCGAACAATTTCAAAGTTGCCACATTCAAAATTAATTGTACGATATATTTGTGTTTCGTAACCTCGCTTTCTTTCCTACGTGCCGCAATTGTGTGCAGCGATGCGCGTGATTGTATCTGAAAAATTCCTTAGAATATCCCACGTTTCTCGATAAAGAGTTCGCCACGTTTTACACGAGTCTTAGCTCACTGAGTGCACTATTTGTTGTCACGCTTAATTTAAACGTACGTATGGAGCGTTTTACAATTCCACGCAAATACGAGCTCCTGTAACTTGATTGAAATGAACAAAATCCCTCAAAATACGTTATCAACTTAATCGAATTTCAGACACTGACGATTTATGCAATTTTGAAATATTTTTTAACGTTATATCCTAAATATGGGGTTTGTGATACTGTAAAATTAAAAATCCTTTGTCACTCATCTGGAGTCGGAAGTAATACAAGATCAAAATGATCTCGGAATATGCTCGAACGCGATAAAAAACAGCCGGCGAGTGAAAGTGTGTATTTTTACGTTCACGGGTCCCTCAAAATGCGATCGCAATAAATCACCGGAATAAAAGTGACTGGCACCTTGTATGCATGCCACTGAATGGCTATTACACGGCACTAACGAATTTCTATGTGTAGCGCAATATTCCTTGACTATGCTAGACTTCAATTCGAAAGGATAATTCCACGATCTCTAATGCAAGGTTAAGTGTATTGGAGAATCTTCCTAGGACGGAAGCTCGGAATATCGCAGAGATTGTGTAATTCTCAAACAAATACCCAGAATTATCAAACATCGAAGTCTAAGACAACTACTATATTTGCCGTAACAATCTCGAGTATTGCATTTCATTCAATAAGAAATGATGAATTATTCAACGATGAATCGACGTTTTCCTGATTGGTCGATTTAGAATTTTATAAGAAACGCGAATTTAGAAAGTAAAATATTGATTCATAGTTGAAAGTTAAATAAAGTACAAGGGTCGAAACGTATAAGACTAGGTATATTTCGTGAAAGTTTCGATAATGTATGAATATAGCGGGATACAAATATTTATTTCTTTATACGTTGTCCGTATAGCGGTATTGATACCCGTGAAACAAATGCTGAGAAAAAAAGGAAACACGTTTCAGCAAAAGCTCTGTACATTCGGTGTTCACCACGCTCGACGTGATACGTTACTCTTGAATTCCCTCCAAGAGTGGATTTTACCCGGATTTTCGAATTTGCCCGATTTTCTCGTACATTCACCTTCAATTTATCGCGAAGTAAAAGCAGATGCAAGATGGATCGATCTGGAAAACTCCAAAGTCCAATAGAACCCAGTTCTGGGGAGAATTCAACGGTAACATATTAGGTCGATTACCGTGAAACGCTTCTAGACACCAAAACACGATTTCGCAAATATATCCCTTTAAAAAGAAAGAAAACGAGGATGCCCTATCCATACGCGTGTTCTTCTATAAAATTAAATTTCCCCTATATATATATTAACAGAACTCTCCAAACGAATTTCCAAAATCAAAATTCCACCAGCTTTTGAATGAAAGATGTTAGCTTGTCAAATTTGAAGATGATAGACACTGAGAACTTCCGAGGGATAAATTTCCGGAGGCAACAAAATGCAGCTGCAAGATTAATACACTTCCTGCGGCGCGTGTCTCTTGAATTTGACTCCGACAATCTCGACAAAATCTCGTTCGATCATAGTCGGAAATGCAGACAGCTTCTTCCACCCGCGACCACGCCGACGTTTAGATAAATAGCGGGGAATCCAAAAAGAGGGGCGCGTATACGAGGGCAATAGTTCGGCGAAGATAAGCGAGATGCGAAATGGCTTCGCCATAACAGGAAAAATACGAAACGTCGGTACGTGTGTTTCGTGTAGACGCTCGTCTAGACGCGAGCCAGTATACGTATATATGCCGTGTATACGACGATACATAACCCCCTGTGCACAGCAGGATGTGGAAGACTCGGGGGAACGAGATTACAGGAGATCGAGGAGGAAGAAGGAGTAGGAGTTGAAACGGCCGGAGTGACTCGTTTTCCTCCCTGTTTTCCAGACGGGGCCTACCACCACGCGTCTCAGAAACTATGGATTATCGGGTATAGTTGGCACTCTCCCCTCCAAGCAACTCGAGAGGCATTGATAGTTGGACAGGCATCTAACAATGAACGAACACGTCAGGAGATTAGGGGGCACTTTATAAACGGCTGGCCACCAAGGGAATCGCTGTGAAACGTTATCGACAAGTTCGATGACACGCGTCGCACCGGTAGTGCTAGTGCTGTGGTGTTTAACTGGCTTTCTAAGTGGCTGGTAGTCGGCCGACACGGCGGGTGAGTAGAGAGAACCCGAAGTACACCGAGTAGCTTGACGGTCCTCGATGTTACTCCGGTCTCCGGTGTTCGCGGTGACATCGGCGCAGACAAGATGTATCGATTACTGATACTTAAGCACACCGGTGTGTACGATGAGTTGGACGGCTACCGTCGTTTAGCCAGCAGACGAGACTGTCGAGACTTCGCCGTTCCACGAAAATGTTCCTCTCTGATTACGAGCCAGAATAACGTCAGCTACCCGGTTTTCCAGCGCTAGCAATTAGCCGCTACGATTGACACGCAATTAGACTAGGAGGCAAAACAGGGAATAAAAAAAGTAGGAAGAGGATCGAATATCGAGAATACTCGTTTCGAGAGTTTCTCGCAGAGTGAACTAATTGCGACAAATCAAGGATGTACGTGCGTACAGTTAGCATGTAAATATACGCGTGATAGATAGAAGTAATAACTTTGTGGATCTTCCTTTGAAACGATTATTTAACCATGTGATGCCGTTACGTGTAATCGTTACGTTTAAACCACCCGTGCTATAAGGTATGCCGTGTTCGGCGCGTTGAAAACAGGGTAACGTCTTTGGCAATTATCGATAATCGATAGATGATGCTTCATTGCGATATATTTAACGAATAACACGTGTGCGTAGCTTGATAATTCGTAACAGCTAATACAGTGGTTTCGACCGAGTGTTTGATAAGCTAGTGTACAGTCATTAACATTTGATAAATGATGCGCTATTAAAGGATTAGCCAGCCGCTAGTTTAAACGTTGATGACCATTGATGAATAAATATCAAGTAAATTAGACCATTCTACGTATCCATGACACAAGCATATACCGAATCATTCAATATTGCCTTAACAGGGTATACAATACTATGAATGAAACAGTGAAATTTCGTGTCCCGAAACAACTTGAAACAAGAACCGCTAGCCCGGATAAACGAAGTAAGTTAAAACGCTTGGAAATAGAAAACAATTCCATTGCATTTAAAATCATGATAATTCGGTTAATTGATAATGACAGTACGAGACATCAATCTCGTTTTATAAATACGGTTGCTTGGTATTCCAGGTAGTTAGGTACATAGACGAGTCTGTACTCCGACAAACCAGTTAGAATCCTAATTTGCTCATCAAAGTCGGTACGCGATACCGAAGCAATATGTATATTTGTGTATGTATTTTGATCGGTTCTATAATGATCGTACAGAATTGCTGATGGTTATGCAAGTAATTCCCTAATGAGGTATTTAATCCTAAATTTGTATTCTCTTTACTTCTGCAATCAACGCGTTTGCAATTATGTATCTTTATCTATACGTGCATAAATAATATTTTTCGTCGTTGAAATCCATAGTACGAGTTATTAAACACTGCATTAGCGGACCAGTTGCTTTGAGCATATCTCAAACATTAGATTTATGGAATATCGGTTATTAATTTACTATATCCGCGCCAGCATATTGTGGATGTTTGTCAAACGATCCGAAGCAGCCAGAGAATTTTCGAATGTTCGGGGCGTTCAGCAATATAGGAGACGAAGCGATGTTACGAAGCTTGTATCTACCCTGGAACAAGCCACTACGAACATTTTCCGTGATGCTGGAACTTTGAAAGATTATAACTCGAACGGAAGCGTTTACAAACCCAGAGTTTATACCACGTTGTTTCGTTACCACTAGAACGCCGCATACGAAAACGGGGAAGCTCGTTTTGGCAGCAACATGCAACATGGGATGGAAAGTTTTTACAGTAATTTGACCTCGATTAATTACCATCTATACAGGTACTTTAGAGAAAATCGATAAAATTCAATCAATTTCATTAATGGATTGGGTAGTTTCTATTGTAACTTCTTTCATCACGTTCCATGAGTAGAATATTAGGAAATGAAATTTTCGCTGCGCTATGTTTTCATTTTTGTATTTGCGCGCATACAGCGCGTTATCTTTTATTCGGAGAATCCATTTCCTGCGGGGCGACAAATATTCCAGCTACAATAGAACGCAATATCCTGCACAAATCTTTCAGCACTATCACGCTTTCGGGTACCAATCTTTCATCCGCTCTAAACTCGATCTATGTATTTTAATGGTTTATTGCTCTTATTGCACAGAATGTAGTGAGATAATTCACTATGTTTCACTTTAATAAATAATAGTCTTTGCTACTAAGGTTTGCTCACGTTCCTCAATATTACTAGAAATATAAAAAATATCGAAAGTTTTGAGTGATGGTTAGGGAATGTAGATATATAGAAAAATCGAAAGTATCTCTTACTTAACGTGCATAGTCGAAATTACACGCGTTATGCCGCTCAAATGACTTGTAACGCTTGCCCAAGCATTCGTTTCTTTTAAAGTACTTAGCTTAGACGGTGTGACTAATAACGCCATTTCTTTACGACTCGATCGATTTAATGGATTGTCAAACATTTTCTCAGCGAGAAAGCGATTACTCCCGAATAGAGAAATGAGAAAGATGGATGATACAGAGTAATCGGAGAAGGA